TCTACTTTCTCGCTCGCTCTCAGTCTCTCTCTCTCTCTCTCTCTACTTTCTCGCTCTCTCTCTCTCTCTACTTTCTCTCTCTCTCTCTCTCTCTCTCTCTCTCTCTCTCTCTCTCTCTCTCTCTCTCTCTCTCTCTCTCTCTCTGCCTGTCTGTCTCTCTGTCTCTCTCTCTCCCTCTACTCTCTCGCACGTTCTCGCATCCCCGCCCTCCCTCCCTCTCTCTCTCTCTCTCTCTCTCTCTCCCTCTCTCTCTCTCTCTCTCTCTCTCTTTTTTTTTTCTCTCTACTTTCTCGCTCGCTCTCTCTACTCTCTCGCTCGTTCTCTCCCCCCGCTCCCTCTCTCTCTTTCTCTCTCTCTCTCCCACACACAAAACCAGAGTTCAAATCATATCACTTTTAGTGCATTTTTCTTCACCAATTTTCAGAAAAAGCTACTTCCCAGTACTTCGCCCCTTCAATAAATAATCACAGAATCCCACCATGCTTTGCGTTCGACCTTCCACAGTGCCTGCGAGTGCCGAGCGGTGCCGGACTGATCAAAAGGTCCTCTCTCAGGGTGACAATTCCCCCGCCCCCCCTTTCCCCCCGGCGGGTCTACAAAGCTCATGTCGGCCAGGAGAGTCCTCTCAATATCCCCGCGAGTGCTAATGGGAATGGCACTCCGGTAGGCGAGTTGACACGCACGTCTTTTGTCTTCGCTGCGCCGCCATTAACACTTCGCTTGTTCTCTCTTGTTCTCCGTGTGTTCAGCGCTCCATGCTCTTGTGTTCAGCGCTCCCAGTTACAGCGTTCTCTTGCGTGGAAGGTTTGCCGGGTGTCTATTACTGATACTTAATACGGTGTTCTGGGAATACAATAGGACGCACTATAACGGTGTAGTATTTTACAAAGCAATGGTCAGCTGTGTACAGGCGGGTCTATGCAACAGAGGCCAATATATCATCAATTACGCAGTGGACGACAAGGAACAGCACAGATCAACAATATTGCAAATTTGTATTCATAATGTCCTATATATACACAGTAGTACACAGAGCAAGGCAGAATACACGCGGAATATATGGTATAAAAGTACACACTACTGAATCTATGAACAGACACATTACTGGATGTGTAGTACGAAATTTAGAAGAAAATATCCAATATAGTTACGGAAAAGCACAGAAAAAAACTAATTACATATATAATTTTAGGAGGAGGAGGGAAAAGGAAGAGGAAGAGGAGGAAAAGGAGGAGGAGGAGGAGGAGGAGGAGGAGGAGTTGGTGGAGGAAGAGGGGGAGAGAAAAGGAAGAGGAAGAAGAGGAAAAGGAAGAGAAGGAGAAGGGAAAAGGAAAAGGAGGAGGAGGAGGAGGAGGAAGAGAAGGAGGAGGAGGAGGAGATTCTTTCTTTCTTATTTTCTTTCCTTATTTTTTCTATTCTTTAAAAATCCTGTGAATGCTATGGACTCCCATCCCCAGAAATATTTGCATTTACACAACTTTGCTTGTATAGTGTACTTTATTTACTGAGATTAGATTACCTTATGCATATATGAGATATGCAAAGTATTATTGAAATTTAAAGTGAGCAATAATAGAATACTATGACTACTGATCCTCATGGACCCCCTAAAACCCATTCATGACTGAATCTTAGGAATGGATCTCTTTGCGGTTTCCTTATACCTGAATTGAAGTACAAATATTAGTTATTTATCAATTATTATCAGTCTTGCCGTTATTATTATCATCACTCTGTATAAGGTATCCCACAGGTCACGTCAGGTAGAATTGAAAGAATATTTGATATTCAGTAAAAAAACAATTATCTTTTTTATTACTTCAGGCGTGAGTCGGATCTCAGAAATTAAATAAGTCATAATATATGTTGGAGTTATAAGAAGATGAAGAATGAGAAAAATAGAATAGGAAGAGATAAGCAATTCGGTGAAACCACGAGGATAGTGTCAGTAGGCTGTGCTCTGTTCTGCAAGATTAATGGGTGCTTGACTTTACTATGGTCAAATACACCTACACATGCGCACATCCGCATACCACACATACATACACTCACACACACACACACACACACACATACATACACACACACACACACACACACACACACACACACACACACATACATACACACACAGACACACACACACACACACACATACACACACACACACACACACATACACAAACACACACACACACGTATGTATATCTACAAACATTAACACACACACACGTTTGAATGCAAAACCGAGCACGACCTCCAACACACACATCCCCCGAGAGAGAGTAACACCCAGAGCTCTACTAGTCATTCCCTCCAGAGTTTTAAGCAAGACCAGACACGCGACACCGAAAAAAAGGAAAATTCATTTCCGCTTGCATTCCGGCGACGTAAAATTCCTTTGACCAAATCCCGGACTCCGAGGCTTTGCGGGGCGTACACAGCCCGGGTGCCAGCGTCATGGCTCCTATAACAATAGCGCGTAGTGTATGCAGCCTAT